CCCCCCCCCCCCCCCCCTCTCTCTCTCTCTCTCGTTTAGTGAAACACGACTTAACTGATCGACTTGCATTGGTAAATAATGTAGGGAAGAAGGAGAAAGCAATGATATCAGAACAGGAGGACTTCTGCGCCAAGAAGATCGCTCAGCTGGAAGACTCCTTGAAGAAAAAGAAACAGGTAATATTCTTTGTCAGCGATTTGCATTGTCATCCTCTGTTCGATTCATAGCCTACGAAAAAATGTCTTTGATCACAGGATGACAAGACATTCAGCATCCTGAGAAAGACCCTCGGCACGTTTCTAGACAATCCATCTGATGAGGAGTTCTCGCCTGATGCCTGAAGAATCATCATCACGGCTTCAGCCGATCACATCCTATGGGAGGATCCGCTCTTTTTATCCGTTCGACCTACCCGTCATCTCTTTCAGTCTCCTTCCCGGTAAACATTCAAGGATATAAAAAGCTCGCAATTTCGATAAACTTTATCGAAAGAATTACAGATTGATGTCCCACAAAGCCTCTTCAACAATGTTGTTCAGTAGAAAAAGAAAAAGATGTACACGGCGTTAAAAAGGAACGAACTCACTTCCAGAGCTCTTCCATGGGGATGCCACGCTCGAGAGCAACATCACGGAACTGTCTCATCTTCTGGACAGCAACAAGTGTGGCACGAGCATTGTTGAGCGCATTATTGCTTCCAAGCTGTTTCCCCAGTGCATTCTCCACTCCCGCCATCTCCAACACTATCCTCACCGCTCCTCCTGCAATCACTCCCGTTCCTGGCGACGCCGGCCTCAGCATCACCCTCGCCGCCCCATAGTCTCCATCCGACCTACCATTCCACCATCATCACCGTCGTCATCATCATCAATTACAAAAAGCAAGGTTCCGACAAGTCTATACTATACCTGTGTGGGAAGGTGAGGTACTTAGTCATAGGGACTTTGACGATGTTCCTTCTGGCGTTAATCGCCGATTTCTGAACAGCCGCAATCACTTCCTTGGCCTTTCCGACACCGACGCCGACATTACCCTGCTTGTCTCCGACAACGACAATGGCTCTGAACTTCAACTGCTTCCCTCCTTTCACCACCTTCGTCACCCTCCTCACCTGAACCACTCTCTCGTCGAACCCATCCCGAGCTTTCTCCTTCTTCGGCTTCGCCCCTCCAATCCCTCCTCCGCTCTTCTTCACCTTCGAATCCATCACGTATATGTCGTTCCCCAGCATCGTCTCTCCGCTGTACGCCGGTCCGTACAGCTCCTCGTACCCAGCCGCGATCTCCTCCTCCGTCTCCTCCTGTCCGTCGTCGAAGTACGGCGGAGGCACGAAACCCTCCGGAGGAATCGGCGGGTCGAAGACGAATTCTTCGCTCTCTGGGTCTTCACTTTCGAAGAGGAAGGTCTCGGTGTCGTCGGAGGCGGATTTGACGGTGGTGAGAGTGAGTGGTGTTGAGGGTTTCGGGAGGAGAGAGAATGAGATTGAGGGCTTCGAGGTGGGGTTTGAGGAGAAGAGAGAGGTGTGGCAATGGAGGGAGAGAGAAGAGAGAGAGGACAGAGCTGATGTTGCCGCCATTGGAGGAGCAAGCGATTGGGGGTTTGGTAGACGTGGGTAGGGGATGAGGCCAAGATGAAGAAGGCTTATCCAACGGGAAGGGGAAAGGGGGTAAATTGGGAAGAGGGGTATGTTTTGATGATTTAGAGAATGTGATGGTGTAAATTTGGAAGAAATCGCACCCCTATATGTTTAGATTATTGACTAATATGCCCCGTATATTTCTAAACGTATACATATACTCCAATTTCTTAGATAAAAGGATGGTCATTTCAGATTTTATTGGTCCGATTCATTTTTATATAAATAAACTACAATTGTTAGATTTTTATATCTAATTCAATTTGGTTTTATTTCATTTCAATTATTTCGCGGATTCGGTTTTCATTGGTAAAAATATTTTTTCAATTCAACGATGATTTTTTTTTATTTCATTTATTTTGATATTTGGGCTTTCGCATAGGTTCTGTCAAGCATATCTGAGGCCTTATTTTTGGGCTTTCGCATATACATTCTGTCAAGCATCCTAGACCTTATTTATGGGCTTTATATGATCTATGGGTAAATTTGCTTGATTACAATAATGTGTACAAACCTGTAACTAATATTTTTTTTCCCTCCATGCTAAATGATAACACTATTACACACACACAAATATATATAATATGTAATATATCTCATTAAAACTTTCTGTATCACTCATTAAAACACCCTTTTGTAAAAGTTTCCATGTTTTTTTCCTCTATATAATATATCATCTCATAACAACACAAACAAACAAACAAAAAAATCCATTTTCAGAATGGGAAACTAGTAGCATAGCTGTGAAACTGGGTTGACGCACCAAGACCATCAGTCACGTGAGCAGCACGCGAGGGATCTCCGTCATGGATGGCGGACAAGCTCATGTCGAGCTGTTGCTCCTTGTCCTTGAGCTGTTCAATGAGCAAAGCCAAGGAAGCTTCGTCTTCGTCTCTTGGTGTGTATTCTCCCGTTGTCTCTATCATCTCCTCTTCCTTTGCGTTTTCTGTTGCTTCTTTCGGCTTCTCTGCCTTTCTTATTGAGTAATACTAAAAGTTTTTAAGAAAATAATATCAGAATTAGATTTTATAAAAATACAAATTTTTCAAATAAATTTTTTATTTTTTTCAAAATTAAAAATATATAACCATTATGTTTTTATGTTGGATTCAATTTTTCGGGTTTATAGAGATCATAACCTATCATATTAAAAATTAAGATAGAAAATGTATTCTCAAAAAGAAATTAAATTGGATTCCACCTAGGTTAAGTTTTTTTTTTTTTATTTAAAAAAACAAAACTATAAGTTTTTAGTTTTTATGTTGGTTTTTTCTTTTGGCTTTATTTGATTTTAATTATTTGAACCGAATGATAATATCGACCTAGGAAAAACCAATGGTAGGTTGAATTGAAGTTTCATGGAGTCACCCTTCCATATTAAGACGGTCAACGCTGACAGTAAAAGTCCAAAAGACGTTAACCAATTCTTGTCTTAATGCTTAACAAACCCTAATTAATGCTCTTTTTTTTTTCCAATTTTCCTTAATTGAACCCTTAATTCGTAAACTGTCTTTTAATTAAACACTCTAATTAGGAAATATATTTAAGGAGAGGAAGCAGCAACTCACGAGATTCTTGCTTTCGTCCTCGTGTATTGTAAACGAGTCCCCCATCTCTAGTCCATGTTGCTTCACAAACTCCCCTATGATTAATTTCGACCAGACCGAAAATGAAAATAAAAATCATACCATATCTCAATTTCACAAATATATATATACACACACACACACACATTTATCATAAGATAAATATTTTTCTGAGTTTCTTACCTGTGTTCTCGAGGACATACATTCTGCTCTTATTATTGGACCAGAACCTATACGGTAGCATCAGCAAAACGATGCGAGAAATTATTAAACAAAATATATGTATTGTAGCTCTAACATTATTTTATGTAGATAAGGAATGTGTAACAATTGGATATATGGTTGTGGGCTAGATAAATTCGATAAGATATATGATACTTAACGAGAAAATTTGTTATTTTGGTAAATTTAAATAGAGAAAACCCGATTTAAACGATTAGAATCATATATCGTGACAGAAAAAAAAAACAATATAAAAGTTTTCTATATAGAGAAGACAAATTATTATTGATAATATTGCTCAAACATAAGCACACAAAATTATCACGAAATCATTTGAGATTTGGTGATTCACGGTTAATTTTCATGAACCAGCAGGAAAAAAAACGGTATATATATATATATATATATATATATAAACATAGGGAGAGTTTTTATTTGAACATTTTCAATCGATTTTATGAGAAAGAGACAAAAAGTGAAACAGTACTAACTTGTACTTGAAAGACCAAGCTTGGTTAGAGTCCGCATCTCTCATCACAATTTTGATTCCTTCTTTATCCGACAGCGTTGGAAGATTTGCTTCTGCTTCTCTCTAATAAGTATCAATCAATTTCATAATAATAATTAAGATTTTAAAAAATAACCAAAATAATGAAATAAATACAAAAAAGGAAACACAAGGTCCAGAGGCCATTTAGAAGGTAAGACATTAAGTTGCAATTAATACTCATTAAAGAAAGGGTTTAAGGCTTTCCATATTCTCTCATCAATTTTCTTTTCTTTTTTTAGCCTCACTTTTATATATAATTAATTCAATAACATATTTACGATTTAAAAGAAAATATTGATATTGTTTTTTTTGTTTCATTGTTAGAGAATACTCAACAAATTAAATCGTATGGAAACTCACCTTTGGAAGCACAATCCTCCCAAGCGCCCCTACATCACTGTTCTTCAACTCCTTCACCAACAAAACCCTAAGCTTCTATATGCAATTCAACAACAAGAAGAGGTCATTGATCAATATGATATAATATATATATATATATACACACACACAAATGAATGGAAATATAATGATACAACCAAACCTTGTTATTCAATCCGCAGAACCGAAATTGATCACCTTGGGAGAAGTTATGGGGATGACCCTTAAACGTCACCTGTCTCCTTGAATCCGACTCGTTTGAACTGTGATTAGAATTAGAGTTATTAGAAGAAGAAGACGAAGAAGAGTTGTTTCTTGACAAGCTAAGTGTCCTTTGCCTCGCGAGTTTTCGCTTAATCCTCGCTATCTTTGTCTTCTGCGGATCAAGAAACCCTCCGAGTCCTTGCCCCAACCCGCCCGAGTTAACCAGCGAACTCGGTGTTGGTACCACGGGTTCGCATCCGTTCTGCTGAATCGGCATGGAGATGTGAGGAAATGCCGAATTCGCGTTGGGAAAAGAATGAAACTCCGTCTGTTGATCAACTTGACCACCTTGGAATGCGTATGAATACTCATACGGGTTAGGGCTCATCATGAACTGTTGCAGATTGCTGTTTTGACACGATGAATGATCATGGACTGAGAAAAGAGGGGTATTTGGAGAGGAGGAGGAGAAGTTCTCCATTTTCCAAAGAGCTGAGAAGGAGAACAGTATTATGATTATGGAGAGAGAGAGAGAGAGAGAGGGAGAGAGATGTAAATATAAGGTTGGTTTTGAAAAAAGAGGGTCGTTGGGGGTAGAAGGAGAGATCGAGTGAAGAAGAGACAGATGTTGCAAAAGCTCTCAGAAACGCGTCAAGATTGTGGTTATGGGGATACACATCTGACCACTCTCCCTTAGAGAGAGAAAACATGTATTAACACACATTTATATATAGGCGTACACATCTATGGCGCCATTTTAGGGTTTGAGTGGATATATATATAATATATATGTGTGTGTGTGTATATATTTGTGTATGTATGGAGGGTTCGTTTTTGGTAGAATTTAAGAAAGGTTTAATTTGTTGAGATGTAAGGCTTTTATATGGCACAGAACACCATGGCGCTCTCATTGGCTGTGGCTGCTTTGTCCGTTCCCTTTTGGGCTTCCTTTGTTTTTCTTTCCTCAATTTTACTATTTATAATCATTTTTATCAAGTTCTTTTTTTTTTTGTAAAAAAATAGTTTGAATTTATAATTGTGAAACGAAAGATGTACAATTTAGTAGAATTTTTATGAGTAATATCATATTCTCAAAAGCAGAGTAGTGAGAGTTAAATTAAAAAAAAAACATATTGGTCATTTTAGGATAAGAAATTAATGAAAAAACAACAAGGAATTAAAATTAACGAAAAATTAATTGTGGATTCAATCCGTAGTTCCTTGTCCTCACGTGGACTAATGGATGGTTCCAATTTTAAATGTGGAGTAATATTTTTAGAGGTAGATAATTCATGTTTCCATTACAAAAGTTGAATGATCTATTCCATTTTTATGTTGATTTCGATTCGGTTATTTTTTTTTTGTTCAAATTTAATTTTAGTTTGATTTTTATTAATAAAATAAAAAGAAAATTTGGGTTTGTTTATTTTTTCAATTATTTTAATATTCGGATTCAAATTTGTCGATTTCAATATATTAATACCTATTCGGTTTTAACATCGCATTTTTTGGATTGAGATTTAACTCGCCTTCCTTTTAAAGTAAGGATTTAACAACCGTTTCTTTTATTTTTTTAAAGATTTATTTTTTAGTCAAACTAAATTCGTTAATCCAAAAACAATTACATAGAGTAGAAATGTAAAACGGATTAACCCAATCCGGATCGGCCCAACCCGTATGGTTCTCAAAAATTTTTAGGCCAACCCAGTCCAACACTTTTTTTAATGAGTCGAATAATATTTGTCTCAGTCGGACTCGCCTTAGATTACGAGTCAAATAAGTTGGCTTATGAGCCAGATACGGAATACATTACTAAATAAACACAATTTAAATTTTGTTCATCATACATATAATAGGTATAATAGATTAAATATTTCAAACTAAGATAGATATATTGATAATATAATAAAAATATTAAAATATAAAAGGTAAAACATTTTTAAAAAAAGATTTTTGCTTGCGAAATAGTTTGTGGGTTCGCCGAATTGGTTCACGATGAATTCGACTCATTCGACCCTTTGTTTAGGTTAAATTTATTAAGTCTAACTTAGTAAAATATGGATCGGTTCACAAAGTCTGATGAACCAAACTCATAAACCAAACTCATTTTGATAGCCTAAGGTAGTGTGATGTATTTGCATCATAGTCAATGAGTTAAATTTTTTATAATGATACTAATTTGTTATCATAGTTAATTTTTTATTTTTATAAGCAACATTAAATCAACGTTTTCAATTTGAATTAAAAACTATTTTTTTTAAAAAATTAAATCAATGTTAACAATAATTAATTTTTTGTTTTAATACTATATTATTATTTTATGTAATTATAAACAAAAAAATTATTAAAAAAATACTAAATTTGATAATATCATCTGATTAATTGGTTATATTTGTTACTTATTTCATTTAATTTATTAAATATATTTAGATAGATTTTTTCATGTCAATTTGAAAACCAAATCTAATTAAAATAATTAGAATAACTTAATTTTATTAACTATTCCTAATACTTATTTTATAATAATACCATGTCTGTTTTATCTGTTGAGTATGCATTAATCGTAATGGATAATATTGAAAATTGATTAATTGATGTAGTTGATAATTTGTTTTAAATAATTAATATTGACAAGCAATCAATTGATGTTTGATATTCTTTTTAATACATTTGTATTTCAGAATACTAATATTTCTATAAATTTTTAATATCATTCTTAATAAACTATAGTAAAAATTTAAAATTTAATCTTAATATATTTTCATATGAAATTTATAATTTTTACTATTTAAATTTTATATATCTCACTAACCTATGGACAATAAAAAATGAAAAAGGCATGGCAGAGAAAAGGAAAAAGTTAGTGGGCTTCATTTGAGGCCCAAGTGAATAATTTGGGCCTTCCATCATCATTACTTATTTAAATTTGTAACGGTCAATAATTTTTCGTTTTAATTTATTTCTTGTTTTTTTCAATTGAATTAACTTTTTTTTGTCAAAGATCAATTGAATTAACTTGTTAATGAGAAAAAACAGCCCTTTTATATTGAAATAACTTCGAGTTTTATATAAAAGCAACCAATTTCAACCGGACATTAACAAACTAAAGAACAATAAAAACGTTGTCGGATTTTTTTTTTGTTTACTAAGTTGTTCGACATGATCATAGTCATGACCATCACTCCCGGAAGTTAAAAATCTTCAAATCCCGAAACATATTTCAGGTTATGATACCGTGATAAATGTCAAAACAAAACTTTGTTATTATTATTGGATGAATTAATTTAAATAAACAACATATTCTTTTATTATAATTTTAAATTCCATAAAACAATAGATAAAAACCAAATCAAACGGTAGGGTTCTGTCTTATCAGCCACTTGGATTTGCTGCACCGGCGTGAAGTAGACGTACGAAAATTTCATCGCACAAACCTGCATGCAACTCGACAAACGCATCATGCATCTGTTGTGTCTCATTTACGTCCAATTCTTGGACCGGAGCCTTCCACCAATATTTCTTGATTTCCCTTTCTTCCGACACTTTCTCAAGCACTTGTGTTCGGTCTTTTTCTTCCTCTATAGCTTCAAGAACCTTCTCATACTCTTCGTTCATATGATTTATACGCTCTCTTTTATACGCATCGACTAGAGAATCGGTGCTATCTTTCTCTTTCCTACGGATCGGATTCATGGATTTATCGAACACAGATTCCATAGAAGTGTGTGAAAAGGTGAATGGCGTTTCGGCTTTGGAAAATACGAGAAACCCTACTTCGGCGTTGCACGTGAAAATCAACTCGTTGAGCTTTTTGTAGATTCCTGCTCGACGTTTCGAGAATGTCGTCATTCTATCTTCTTCGTTATCGATCTTTTTCATCTCGATTCTTTGCTTTCCTTTCGTTTTTTTCATCGCCGTTTTTTTAAGGAAAGGGGGGTTTGACGTGAAGAAATAATAGAAAGCAAAATATGGGCAAAGATGATGTGAAATTGAGGATGAAGATGCTACTTTGGGTTAACTATTTATAGGGCAAACAATTAAAAGGTAATTAAATAATTAATTTTTTGTGCATTTATTATATTATTTCGTTATTCTTTGGCTTTTTGTATCCTGTCTTTAGGTAATGTTAGTCAACAAAAAATTTCAGCATATATTAATTTGTTGACTGTTTTTTTTTTTTCCTTTTTTTAGAATTCAAATGCATATATACATATAGTTGACTGGAATAATTATTTTTTTTTGAAGCTTCTCTATACAAATTATCAAATGTTTTGTGGCCATAATGAAAAATAACATTTCCTTGAGAAATGCCAAGACACCACACTAAACTACAGGTTTGGACCAAAACGTCGTTTTGGTTTCTTAATGGGCATTGCAGTTTGCATCTCTCGCACGTCTTATCCTCGCATCCAAACAGCTAAAATCCAACTCAATATGTAATATATATATATACAGCCACAACAGGACCTACCTCTATATATATATACACACTTCCTCTGCCGGCATTTTCCAATGAAATGTCTCGGAGGTACATGTGTACGATAAAACCCAAAAGATTCTCCGTTTTTTTTTTGTAATGTAATAATAGGGACACTTTGGGTGGCGTTTGGAAAAAAAATACTGTATTGTTCTGAACGGTCCGAATGATAATTTTTTTATAAAACCGAATTTTAAACCCCCCAAAAAAAATAAAAAAATGCTTAAAAAATCTATTTTTTTTTTAATTAAAACCGGAATCAAACCGAACGCAAAACAAAATTAAATCGAATATGATATTAAGAACCAAACTGAATTTTCGAACCGAATACCGAAATATCAATCCCCGAAGTTAAAAACAAATCTATTTCTTGTTTATATATACACCAGTTAATATTAATGTGAAAAAATGCAACCGTCAATGGAGAAAAAAAAACCTTATCGTCTCAACATCATCATGACTAAAAAATATATGTTAAAATCAATGAAAATGACAGATCGAAAATTTCCATTACAACTAAAAAAAGGGGCGAAAAAAGAAATTTGTATAACATTAAAATCGACACAATCAAAGAAAAGGAAACCATAACAAATCAAATTGATCGATTCATTAAGAATTTACGAACATTCAAACAAACCAACCAAGCCCCCCCCCCCCCCC